TCTTTGCTTAGTTTGTTTTTTAAATTCGATTTTTGTTAGTTGCGAATTTATTGCCATTTTAATGTTCATAATTTTGATCTTCTTCTCTTTTCTAAATAAGTACCTTTAACATTTCATATAATAAAGACTTGCTTGGTGATATGAACTCCTTTAGCTTTACCTTTTTCGGTAAGTACTTTATCTGCCCTTCAATTCTAAATGATAGCTTTGCTGGATAGAGTAATCTAGGTTATAGGTCCTTGCTTTACTGTGAATACTTCTTGCCAGTCCCTTCTAGCCTGCAAAATCTCTTTTGAGAAATCAGCTGATAGCCATATGGGAACCCCTATGTAGATAACTTTCTGCTTTTCTCTTGCTGCTTTTAAGATTCTATCTTTATGTTTAACCTTTGGCACTTTAATTATGATGTGTCTTGGAATGGTCCTCTTTGGTTCCATCTTGTTTGGGACTCTCTGTGCTTTCTGGATTATTGTATGCCTATTTCCCTCACCAAATTAGGGAAGTTTTCCTTCATTATTTTTTCAAATAAGCTTTCAATTTCTTGCTCTTCTCTTCTACTTCTAGCACCCCAATGATTCTAATGTTGGTATGTTTCAAGTTGTCCCAGAGACTCCTCAGCCTATCTTCATCTTTTTGAATTCTTTTTTCTTCTTGCTGTTCTGGTTGAATGTTTTCTTTTCTTCTTTATGTTCCAAATCATTGATTTAATCTCAGCTCCATCCACTCCACTGTTGAGTCTCTGTAAATTTTTCTTTGTTTCACTTAGTGTAAACCTTCATTTCTGCCTTGGTCTTTTTTTATGTTGTTGAAGTACCCAATGATTTCCTTAAGCATTTGAATAACCAGTGTTTTGAACTCTACATCTGACGGACTGCTTATCTCCATTTTGTTTAGTTGTTTTTCTAGAGTTTTTTCTGTTCTTTAAGTTGGGCCATGTTTCTTTGTGTCCTTATTTTGGCAGTCTCCCTGTGTTTGTTTCTATGTATTATAGGTAGAGCTGCTTTGACTCTTGGTCTTAGTAGCATGGCCTATTGTAAAAAAGCATGCCAGCAAGTTGCTTGGGGCTGAGCCTTAGGTAATTGACAGAGTGGGGCAACTTGTGTGAACCAGGTTGATGGAGTCTCCAATATGGTGTCGCCCCTCTGTGGTTCTGTGTAGGGGAGGGGTCAGAGAGGGGATGACAGTGCCAATGGCTGGCCTCTGGAGTTTTGCCCAGGTAGAATCTGTCCCCTGGCACTCACTCTGATGCCAGACATTTTAATTTCCCCCCGTATGCCACTCATGCCCTTCCAGCTGCTGCCCTATTGCTGAAGCCCAGAGGGAATGAGTCTGTCCATTCCCTAGTCCGTTGCTGTCCCTTTAAGAGGAGACTCCTGAGATCCCTGTAGTTTCTTCCACCACCAAAAACCCCACTGGTTTTCACAGCCTGTTTATTTTCCTGGAACTGGAACCCTGGTGTGGGTGGTCTGGTGTGGGGCTGGAATCTCTCGCTCCCAAGGTATCCCTCCTGATTTTTGTCCACCACACGTGAGTGTGTGACTGCCCATTTTGTGTCTTCACCCTTCCTACCCATCTGGGTGAATGTGACTTCTTTAATTCCTTAGTTGTCGGACTTCCATACAGCTTGATTTTCCAATGATTCTGGATGATACATGTTTTGTAGTCAAATTGTATTTTTACTGTGGTTGTGCAAGGAGGGAAGCCATGTTTACCTATGCCACAATCTTGACCAGAAGTCTCATTTGCTTTTATATATATTAGAATCAGCTTACCAATTTCTACCAAAAAAAAAAAAAAAGGCTGCTGGATTTTTTAATTGGAATTAAACTGAGTATATAGATCAGTTTATAACATATCTTAATGCTTAAAACTCTTCTAATTTATGAAATATCTATATTCATTTTTAGGTCATCTTTAATTTTTCCCAATTTCTGAAAAAGTAAAATTCCTCTCCCTTTTTATCATTTGTTACTCATTTTTTAACAGCTTTATTGAAATATGATTCACATACCTTACAATTTATCCATTAAATTGTACAATTCAGCAGCTTGTAGTATATTCACAGAGTTGTGAATCCCTCACCACAATTTTAGAATATTTTCATAATGCCAAATAAGAAGTCCCATTACCCATGGTCACCACCTCTTAATACCCCATCCACTTCCAAACGCCCTTTCTGCACACTCTGCTCAAGGAAACCACTAATTTACTTTCTGTCTCTATAGATTTTTCACTCGTGGACATTTCATGTAACTGGAAATAATTCATGGTCCTCTGCAACTGGCCTCTTTCAGTATTGTGTTTTCAGGTTCATTCATGTTGTAGCATGTATCAGCATTTTATTTCTTTTTTTGCCAAATATTATTCTGTTGTATGGATATGTCATATTTTGTTTAAACATTCATAAAAATGTTTCATTTCAGGTTGTAGTAAATTTGTTCTCTCTCTAACATTATTTGAGTATATTAGTTTTTTTCCCTCAATTTCCCTTCATATACCCTAAAGATGACAACTGCAGTTTCATTTTTTAGCCCTTTTAATTTGAAATTAATATGAAATACAAATTTTTAATAGTTATCTAAAATCCTGTACAGCCTCTAGCTTTTTTTTTTAACAAATAAAACTCTCATAATTGATTATTGAGCTTTCTTTTACCCTTTTAAATTTAGAAGCCATATCAAAGCAAATATTTTCAGCCTAGTAAGATATTTTTAGCACTTACTATCTCTAAACCACTATTTGTTGAGAGCTTCTTTTGGAAATGTTTTGTTATAAGGAGATATTTAATTTGAGGAGACGGACTAAATAGGATTATTTAAAAATGTATTAGTGCCCCTTTAATCAAAACTACAGTCTTTCTCCTTCTCAGATCATTATCAGGTAGTATTTTAATAGTAACTAATGTGTGAATAGTATGATTATCTGACCTTTGTTAAAAACTAATTTAAGGGTAGGGTAGAAAAACCATTAGAGATAGGGGAAGGGAGAATATATTTAGGAACTACCATGACAGGTATATTGGTAGTGACTCTCATATGTTAACTTATTTAATTTTTATAGTACTCCCTTGGATAGATATTTTTACTGTATTATAATTTGGAAACTGAAGCTCAAAGAGGTTAAATATTCCAGCTTTAGTAAACAACAATAATTTAGTAAGACATCACTATCAAGTGAGACTCAGATGTACAACATACTGGTTAGACAATTATATAATTTACAAAATGGTCCCCCGATATTTAAATTATCACCTGACATTGCACATAGGTATTAAAAAAATTTTGAATGTAAACTGTGATTGTAAAATAAAATTAAAAAATATCTCAAGTGAGACTCAAGTCAGTCTAATTCTAAAGCCGTTGTTTTTTTTTTTTTTTTTCCCCTTAGTTACTGAATTGTACTTTATATACATAGAGGCCACTAAACCCAGAATCACAAGTGAGTGAAGCAAGTGTATGAATAATACAGGGGTGGTCAAAAGTACCTTTATAGTTGTGCATAAACAAAGTACAGAGTTTATTCTTATATTATTATTTATTAATTTTGTATTATTTCCTGTACAAACAACTGTAAACGTACTTTTGCCTGCCCTGTGTATGTCCTGCTGATATTTCTTTACATAGCCAGTAGCATATCTTTTTTTCTGTACTTTATGACCACATTATAGGGAAAATATATATATATATATGTACATATATATGCTTATTCAAACAAATATATCTGTATATGTACACACATGTTCTAAGCAGGTCTCTGTTTCCTTTATTTTAATAAGTGAGTGTTTTTCAATATAATTAAGTGATAGGGAATTATTAAGGATCTTATATCTTGGCTCTGCTACAGTTTTACTTTGAAACTTCAACAAACTTAAATATCTCCTTTGTTAGGTTGTGCACTGTAGACTTAAATAGTAATGTTATTGTTGTTGTTGTTGTTGTTGTTGTTATTATTACCACACTCATTTTTAACTCTGACTAAAGAATTAAGGAATGAGTCCTGACTGGCATGACTCAGTTGGTTGAGCATTGCCTTGCAAAGTGAAAGGTCACTGGTTCAGTTCCCGGTCAGGGTACATGTTTGGGTGGCAGCTCTAGTCCTTGGGTGGGACGCATGCAAGAGGCAACTGATTGATATTTCTCTGACACATTGATGTTTCTTTCCTTCCATTTATCTCTCCCTTCCCCTAGCTCTAAAAATAAATAAATGAATGAATGAATGAATAAATAAAATCTTTTTTTAAAAAAATCTAGAAAAAGGTTTTAAAAAAGAAATGGGATGAGTGACTGGAAAGGAAGAAATAGCTAATAGCACTTTTATTTTAAACTACCTTTGATTTATTTTTATTTCAGTTTTCTGTTATTTATGTGGAAGTTAACATTTTTCTCTTAAGAATATCTGTTTTAAAAGATTACGGAGCTTTTTTGGATATCTTCATGACTGATGGCTAGATTAAATAAGTCATTTTTGAGCTACCACAATATGACAGAACACAGAACTTTGCAAAGTTCAAAGTGAACTTTAAATATTCAACACTACAGAATTTTGCCTAATTAAAGCTTCTGTTTAATTAAGACAACAATGCATAGTCTTCATTAAAATTAACAGAAAAAAGTTCTTTCTTGGTCCTTGGAGAGGATATTATATGCAGGCCCTGTTGTGTGGGTTGCAAAATGTCACTGAAATTTATATGCATTAGTTGTCTAATTGCAGTAAATGTAGCATGTCCATATAGGTTTAGAGTTAGAAGACTATTTGTTACTTACTGAAAATTATTTGAAACCTCAGTACCCAAAGGCAGCTGTGCCCAGGTCCTTCACCTCTCCCCAGAGATGACTAAGAAGACTGTTGTTGGACCCTGTCTTTCATGGCAGGAGCAGTAAACATGACAGGTTGTTTGGGAGCCATCTGTTTAAAATGGTTGCTGCTTTGTATGCAGCAATAAACTTGAGATCAGTTTTCTGTCTTTTTTATGGTAACAGTCTTATTTGGTGTCACAACAGGTGGAAGTTGATGGGTTGAAACTAAATGTGACCAGCACATGGAACCTGGCTTCACCCTTATTGTCTGTCAACGTTGATGGCACTCAGAGGATGATACAGGTAAATGTTACGATGATTTACTTGGAGGACTCCATTAAGTCAAAAATCCTTATCAGGATCTGTATGGTTAACACCTACAGACATGATACAGAAAAGCTGCATTTTATCCATCTAGTTCATTTTATAGTTGAAAACATTTTTTCTTATTTTAGAGAATCTTTACTCAAGTCTTATTCAGAGAAATCAATGCTTGCTTTTTTCAGGCGATCAAGGAAGGTTAGTGTATTATACTTTGTTATAGATAAAGCATTCTACCCATTTTTCTAAAAATAATAGATTAGTAGTTTTCTTTGTCATTGTAAAATATGACTGACTTTGTTACCTTCCTTTTCTGTGTAATTGAAATTGTGTGTATTAGGTAATCAGAAATGTGAGCTATTCAGGTTGACTTGCCATAACAAGTTGATGCCTTTTAAAAATTTAGTAATATTCATTTGTTAACGTTTATTTCCCCCCCAATACAAAATTTCTTGCTTTAATGAGATGCCTGGAAATGCAGAGTTGATTAAATGTTCTTTGTAATCAGTGACCTCCATTCTAAATTAGGAAGCTATGAAAAGAGATTCTGTGAAAATTCCTTCAGCTCACCTCATAGTTGAGATTTAGGGTTCCAGGAAAAACAAAATGCGATAGAACATGTGGCTGTCACATGCAAATAAAAATCATAAACCCTCCATAGCATTAATTCTCGTTCTTTTTTTATGAAAATAGTTTTAGATATTCTTAACTTGATTTTGCACAGGACACTGATTTTTTAAAACCTAAAGAACTCAAGAGAATCACAGATAGAGACTACTCTGTACCAGGCTCATATGTACCTCTCTTTGTTAGAGATGGTACAGCAGAGGATTCCAGAATCTCTTACTAAATATTTGATGACTAAACCAATTTCCAAGCCAGGTTCAACCTATATGGTCCTAAGAAACAGTAAACTTGCAGTAATGAATCCTACATTTTAACTGTGGTTTTGTAAATTGTGTGTGTGTGGGGGGGGTGCGGGAAGGAGAAAGAAAGGGAGAGAAATATAGATGTGTGAGAGAAACATCAATTAGTTGCCTCTCGTAGGTGTCCCAACTGAGGACCAAGCAAGCAACCTGGGAACTGAACTAGCAACCTCTCGCTTTGTGGGACAACACTCAGCCAACTGAGCCATGCTTTTCAAGACCCAGCATATTTTTTCTCTCATATTTTCTTTTATATTATTTTTTATTTATATTTCTGATTTTAGAGAGAGGGGAAGGAAAGGAGAAAGAGAGGGAGAGACATATTGACTGGCTGCCTTTTGTACACCCCACAACTGGGTACCAAACCTGCTACTCAGGCATGTGCCCTGATTGAGAATTGAACCGGTGACCATTTGGTTTGTGGGACAATGACTCAGGCACACCAGATGGGGCTTCTTTCATATTCTAAGTATAAGGTTAAAGGCTTTAAAACCCTTAAAAAATATCACTGAATAATTTTACATCATTTAAGTCTAGTTAGTGTGTCTTCAAAATGCATGGTTTTTAATACTTTATGTTTCATAGAATATACTCTGCACCGAAGGGTCTGTGGCTCAGGCATTAGTGTGATTTGACCAGGGGCACATAGTATGACCTCTCAATAGTGAGTAGAGAGACATACAAAGTTCTATTGTCCAAATCTTTTTATCATGATATTTTCTGTTTCCTTCTCAATGATTATGCAGATAGATGTCTTAATGGCACTTCTACATGTTGAGTTTCCAGCTAAATTAACACTGGATATGTATTTAGAATAATCCACAGAAGTATTTTTTGGAGCACAGTGATAAGGCCCAGAAAATTCTTTTTTTATTCGTGTAAGTTTTTTACTTAAAAAAATGAATGTGAAATAAATGACATGTCCCCTTGACTTTTTGAAGGAGGTCATGGCTTTCAGTTAAATGCTCTCTCATTAGAAGGCAATAAAGTGGGGGAAGTGAATGGAATACTGAGAAAAAAAAAGTCATTTACCTAAAAAAAAGAAGAAAGTAAGGAAAGTTGTTCCTTATCAGAATAGATGAATTTTACTTACTTTCTATGGGCATTAAAATTCAGTGAGGATTCTTTTTATCTCCTCAAAATGCTAACAGTTATAAGAATAATAACACATAGTGTCTACTGTGTATCACATACAATGCTAAGCACAGTATTCTATTAACTCCTTTCATCTTCATAAAAATTGTATGAAGTATATACTATTATTTATACTGTATTAAATGAGGCATCTGAGGATCAGAGAATGTGAAGTGACTTGTTCAAGGACCCATAGGTAATGGAAGATGGAGCCAGGATTTAAATCCTAGCAGTCTTGCTGACGATTTATTTTGTTAAGCATTATTCTATGCTTAACAAACTAGGAAGAAGCTGAGCAGAAATTTGAACTCTGGAAATGGTTCCCCAGACTTTATGCCTCTAACCACTATGCTATTGGGTTGGTCAAAAAGTTTGTTCAGTTTTTTCCATAAAATGAAAGACACATTTTTCATTGTCACCAATAAATATGTTGACTTGAATATTTTGAGTACCTGTGCCAGCTATCTCCTGCATGGTATAACATTGATTTTTCTCATTTAATATCTCCCTTTGATTGCTATCAACTTCAACTGGTCTACCCAACTATGGAGCATTGTCCAGTGAGAAATATCCAGCATGAAACTTCACAAACCATTTTCAACATGTTTGATCAGTCGCAGTACCGCACAAATCTTTTTTTTTTTTGTTTTGCATTTCAGTTACATTTTTACCTTTCTTGAAACAATAAAGCATAATATGTTGAAAATGTTGCATATTTTCTTCCATCTTCAGCATTAAAATGGCTACACAAAAATTCACCAATTTTGATAATTTTTTTAAATGCATGCTGATAAGGCAGCTGTCACAATACAGCCTAACAAAATTGTTTCAAATGAAGTTAAAGACAGCTAAGTGCTACTAGAGTCATCATACAGAAAAAACCCCCAAAAACAAATGAACTCCCTGGCCGACCCACTGTATAGTACTTTTCAATTTTCCCATAGAGTTCTTCAAGTAATAAATTTACCTCTCATCCATGTTTAAATTAATGATGCTCAAATGTTAGTGTGCTTCCAAATCAACTAGAAGACTTATTAAAACTCAGATTGTTAGACTGACTCACAGAGTTATTCCAGTTTAGTAGGTCTGGCATAGGTGTGCATTTCTAATAGTTCTTAGGGAATGCTGATCCTGCTGGTCCAGGGTCCACAACTTGAGAATCACTGCTTTAAACATTTACAATCAGTCAATAAGCTGGGGAATGATGAGCAAAGGTGAGGTAAGTAGGAGCCAAGTCATTTGAAATCTTGTTAATTACATATTGTTGACTCTGCTTTATCCTTAGGCCAGTGGCACCCATGGGAAAATTTGAACTGAAGGAGTATGTGAACAGAATTGGAGATTAGAACTCTTTTTTTTTGTTGTTGTTGCATTGAGGAGAGTAGATTGAAGAAGAATGAGACTGGAGGCAAAGAGAAGTTAGGAGGTATTGGAGAAACGGATGATAAATCATTTTGTCTGGAAAATATTAGTAGTCAGAATAGAGTTGTGTGTGATGAAGAGATTTGAAAGGACAATAGGAGGAAGAACTGGTAGCTTCACAGTGTTCTTTGCTAATTTCTCTTCTATCTGCCCTTAAACATGGGCAAATCTTCAAGGTTTGTTCTTAACACCTTTCATTCCTCTATGCCAACCTCCTGGGCTCCATTGCCCAAGAGTTTCAGCTCATTACCTCCAAGCAAATAGCTATGAAACTACTACTATGTGTTTGGATTTCTCTTGTACTTGTTTATAGTAAATTTGGAGAACAATAGGATGGATATTACCACAGATAGTTCAAGTGTTTTACAGTAATAACAGCTGTTCTTTTTTCCCTGGATTTTTTGCACATACATTTAAACTTTTTATTATTAAGTGCTTTATACACCCAAAATAGTATGTATTAAGCTCATAAAAGGCAAAGACTAATACAATGAACCTGTGTAGCCACAATCTAGATCACCAATTTTCAACCTTTTTCATCTCTTGACATACATAAACTAACTACTAAAATTCTGTGGCACACCAAAATACATTTTTTGCTAACTTAACAAAAAAAAAAGGTATAGTTTTGATTCATAGACAATGGACAGCTATTGTTGTGTTGGCTGTTGTCATTTTTTTAATTTGACACCGTAGGGGAAAGAGATCAGTGCCCCTGACTAAATAGACAGGTACTGCATGTTTTAAAAAGTCTTATGACACACTGGTTGAAAAATCTCTGATTTAGATTAAAACAGTAAACATCACCAATGCTATTGACTTTTCTTTGAGCAGCCCCTTAACTAAATCCTCCTTCCTCCTGCTCCCAGAAGTAACCACTATTCTAATTTTTAAATTTTCACTCCATTTCTTTTCTTTAGCGATATTTACATGAGCAGCAAAACTATAAACAATACATCATTCAGCTCTTTGTGTTTTTGCGCATCATGTAAGTGGTACCATACTTTCTGTGCTTCTGTGAGTTGCCCCTTCTTCCAGGATTGTTTGTGAGTTTGGTCCATGTTGATTGGCGTAGCTTTAGTTTATTTTCATGCTGTGTGCTATTAAATCATATTAATATACTACATTTATTTATTCTTTCACCTCTAAGTAGACATTTATGTTATTTATTTTATCACAAATAATGCTTTTATGGACATTCATCTAGTATATGTTTCCTCTTGAAATAAACATTTCTCCAAGGAATATGCCAGTAGAATGGCTGGTTGTTGGGAGCAATGCATTCTTTATCCTACACAGTAATACCAAATACTTTTCCCTATGTTACCGTACCAATTTACATGCCTACCAATAGTGATGATGACATTAGTAACACGAATGATAAGCTAGCTTTATTTTATACTTACTATGTCAGGCACTGACTCTTCTCAGCACTTCTCCGTGCTTAACTTACTTAATCCTCACAGCAGTCCAATAACGTGTGTGCTAATGTTTTCCTTC